AAAACCCAAGTAGTTATCTAGATTTATTTTCTTATTCCTTCATTCATCTTGGTATTGAATTCCATAGATTTTTAAAACTTTTTTTGAGTTATGGATATAGTGAATTCATTAGAAATACTCCTTTGTAACATTTTGATAACTACAAAGGTGCCCCTATTTATTGGGCAGCAGATTTACTACAGCTAGTTACAAAAGCAGCAGGCAGCATCTAAGTGCACACAAAAGTAGAAGCAAGAATTATCTGAAACCAAAGAGTGATTTTTATTCTTTCCAACCCTACAGATTGATGGTGAGAAATGATGTAAGTGCCCTGGAACTCCTTCTCTCGGTAGAATAAGTCTCCAGAACAGAATGGGATCAAATTTGGCATGATAGGAGATACTTGCAAACAAAAGCTTGAATTTGAAAATGGGCTGGAAAAAAACATTCCAGAAAAAAATCCCCCAAGCTTTGCTAGGAGGGAGGGAGTTGGGCAGCCGCTCAGAATTTTCCATTCGTCGGTTTTAAATCTTACCCCTTTTCCCTCCTAGTCATGCAACATAGAACAGACCATATGTGGCCCAACCAGCGCACAGATACACAGCATGATAGAAGAGCAGAAACACAAGCAACACATACGTGCCTGCCATAATTAGTCTCTAGGAAAAAGCATGCACGCACCACCCAGATGCTGCACGTTACTTCATTATGCAGAAGAAAACAGATGTATCCAATGGTCTTTCTGGTGAAGAGACAGGAAGAATTTCCAGAAGCCATGTTCTGCATGCTGTCTCTGCCTTGTTTTTCTTCTGAATGATTCATTAGTAGATTATTAAATAAATGTACATCTATTATGATTAATTACTAAGAATTATTGCTCCTATATACTGTAGGGCTTGGCTTGTCTAAGTAGTGTTCCTGCCAGGGCTATAGCAGAGACTGGGAAGTCAAAACCATCTGGGGAGGCGGTGATAGCAAATCATTTCCATGTTGTTGCCAAAAAAAAGTTACATGGACATATTCAATGAAGTCACTTAGGGGCAAATGCAAGTTGAAAGAAGATTTACAATTTTTACAAACAATTATTGCAGGGATGGCTCTGCAAAAGATGTACCTTAATGAGAAATACTTGCTAAAGTTGGAGCAGTCACATTGGTTATCGAAGGGGAGGCACAGCCAATCCAGACTTCATTTACTTATTTAATTTCTATACTGCCAAATCACTACAGACTTGCCGAGATTAATAAGATAATTGACAAAAAAAGTGTCCATGGTAAATATAAATAAAACAACTAGTAATTAAAGTTGTAACAATGCAACGATAAATTATAATAGTGACAATGAAAACTAAATAAAACCAAATGAAATAGAATCAGGAATTACATCGCTATAAGTTGTTCAACGCAAAATAAATTGATGGTGATGACAAACTCTTCAAATGTTCTTCAAAAAAGTTCCATCTTCAGTAGCTTCAGGAACATTAGAAGAGATTGAGCAAGCATTAATTTTAAGGAGACAGTACTCCACAAAGCCAAAGCAGCAGCTGAGCAATAATTCCTCTTATTTCATAAAAGTGGAGTATGACCAAAAGCTTCATAATTCTGTTACCATTCAACGCATAATATGTGACGGTGGGAGTTGGATGAAAGGTAGTGTCAGAATGAAGCTCTGGGTCTTTACTCACATGGATCTTTTAGCAATCAAGTAACTGGTTTAAATAACACTAACTAGAGTTAAACAAGATAGTAACAGAAGGATAATTAGGAGTGGTTAAGTTACTAGCAGCCAAGTAGCTAGTTTGGCCAGAAGAGTAATGTCTAAAAAATTACTTAATTTGTATTCCTAAACAAATATAAAACAGATACTTCTGAGGAGGAAAAATCTGTACCCCAAAGCTGAAACACTGTTCTATCAACAGCAAGCTTGTTATTGTACTTTATTCAATTTACCACTTGACCACTTTAGGTTCCACATCAAACTATTTTTGTGTGTTTCCAAACATTATACCTTAGACTGGGGTTATCTATAGCTTCCCCATGTTCCACTAAATCAAGTAATTAAAAAAAACCTAAAGTTCCCAATTAAAAAATAAAAAAATTTAGCGGCAACAGCTAAATCAGGAGGGATCTTCTATAACTCACTAGAGGAACATATTTCCCATTATTTCTTCCATATACCCAAGCAATCTGTTAATACCTGACATGGTTATCTTTTAGATTAGCAAATATAAAATGAAAAGATTCTTCTGGGTGGCAGAAAGACAAGCCTCTGACAGTGGGGTGAAACATCTTTGAAAGGACTTCTGCAGATTTGAAATTTTGATTGGAAATGGGAAAGGTAGCAATCTGGCCATCAGTGCAGCTGTTCCAATGCAGGTATCATATGATCCCTGTGTCTTGGACTGGTTAGCAAGCTACTTGCCACATTTCATTGCAATTTCTGGTCCTTTTCAAGGGTAGCCCCATGCAGAGAGCACTGCACTATCAATCTGTGATGTAACCCATAGAAGGGTGGGTAACCAATGCCAAAGCTGATTGGCTGAGGAAGAGATGCAGCTGGCTCACTCAGTGTAAGTGCAAAATTGTTCCTTGCCCCAGCTATCATCTGCCAACCTAGTGAATCATATTCATTGCTGGCATGAGTGGCTACTACCAGTTTAGAGTTTAAATTAAAAAAATAAGGCATGGTTTGGATTGGGGAATGGGGGTTAAACCCTTCCCTGATATAAGAATGACTCATCTCACCACTGATGCAGCCTTTTAAAATAAGCATTTTATTTCTTTCCAGTCCTCCTTGGTATTGTTTCTCCACTCAGGTGTCAGCTTAATAAAGGTTTGTTTGTTTCTCCTGTGATTGCTAATTACTTAGGAGTGAATAAATCCGAGACTATATTAATCAAAATGCTAAGATAAATGGGTACTCTCACTCCGGTGGGAGGAAAAATGCTGGCGGCGCCTTGCAAAAAGGAGTCGGGAGCAGTTCCCGGTAAGCGGGAAAACCCGGGCGAACCCGAAAAGGGCGCGAAGCAACGGAAACCCCGCC